GCAGACAATTAACAAACTTAATTTAACAATTAATTTAACAATTAAATTAAATGTTAATTTAACAACGAACTGTCACTGATGCAGCTGCATATCTGTACTCTGTATTTCTGGCTGTTTCCCCACATGTCTATTCTTCTGTTTGTCTGTCCCATTTATTCCTCCTTACTCTTACCTGCACAAATTGTTGTGGGACCAGCTTAACCCGATCCTAGATCCCTAAACTAGATCCAAATCATATTGAGCCGCCTAACTTCCATCTGGCTCGTTTGTTTTTTTTTGTCACTAATTGATTCGATCACTTCCAGTTATTACCGGAAGGAAGGCTTTAACGACACGGCTGGGTAGCTTGTTCCCTGCTCCCGCAGCCCTTGGTGTAAAGGCTCCTCGGCTCTGGGGAGGAGCGGAGGCCTGACCCGTGCGCTGTTCCCCGCAGGCCGGGCGAGGTGACGCAGGCGTCGCTGGCGTGGTTCTGCTCCCCCCGCACTGCCATGCAGTGGCTCGACTACTGGGCAAGGCAGCGGCTGCTGTGGTGGAGGAAGGTGGGTGCCCCCCGAAACCTGGCGCTCGGCGCCCCAGCGCGGTCCGCCTGAGAGTTCTTCTGCGTCTCGCTCCGTGTCCTGCCGCTTCAGTACCGTCAGGCCGATGCGAGAATGATGGATGTGCGAGGAAAAGAAAAAAAAACGCAGATAGGAACTGTTGTTCTCCACGAACCGTGAAAAAGGCTCCTTTGTCCCGTTGAGATGGTGGAGACTTGATTCTGCGCCTGGTTTCTCAGTGCCTGGAGTTCTTGGTTCAGCCTGCAGTTTCTAATCGTCCGAACGCAGCTCGTCAGTGATGGACCGGGTGTCACTACCCCTCGTCCAAGTGCAGGTGGTCAGGGTCTAGTTGCGACAGGACTCCGCTGGCTGTGACCGGGGCGAGGCCATGTCGATTCAGTCCCGGCCCTCGCCTGCTGCCCTTCCCGACTCGGTGTTTGCTCTGGGGCTCAGAGTCCCGAGAACAGGCACAGGCCTTCCCAGGCTCGACATGGAGGACCCTGTCCCTCTCCTCAAGAGTCCCGACAGCAGCCTGGCGCAGAGCAAGC